TTTACTCCCAATTGTAGTACTATTCATTGGAAATTTGTAATTGAATCCATTTATCAAAGCTAAAAATGAAAATAGGGAACATAGACATAACAACGTTTTGGATTTCTGGTGACACTGCAAGCAATTAGATTTCATTCTTCTGATTTATGTTTAACTTTGCAATTTACATTTTTACTTATTTTCTGTTATTAACTGTATTATTAATATGAATGCCCAAGTTTAGTCCTCTATAAATTGGAGCAGAAAATGACTGTCATTGAAGTTATCTAGCTGTATGTTACTGATGAAAGGAGTAGACTGTCCTCATCAAAAGAAAAATTCTCCCACTATTGTTCACCTGTGCTTTGTCTGTACTTTAAAATAGTGTGTAAATATGCACATTTTCTAGACAATGCAGGTATACACAGAGTATAGCCAGGGATACAGAGAGGGTACCTGTGTACCAGTATGTATTTTAGAAAGCTGGAAGTATCATTACTGATCATCTAGGCCTGTCTGTCCTAACCCAAACTTTATTTTTGACCAGTTAAATATCTAAGTTCTCTGTAGAGGAATGCTGAGTAGCACTTCGTGGTCCAGGGGACTAAGAATCTCAGAGAAGGAAGAAGCTGGAGGAGAGAGATATTGGAAGAAGCCAGATTTAAAGTTTACAGTTTTAAGAAGTAAGGACTTTTTAACAGTGTAAAATTTGTAGTGAGTCAAGATTTGCTGTGGAGCAATTCCTGGCCATCAGCTGACAGACGGAAAATTCAATTCTAAATCAATCTCCCCATTTTACAAATGAGAAAAATGAGGCCTCTAGGAATGAAGTGACTTGTACAAGGTCACATGGCCAGTGGCAGAGCCAGGGATAGAACCTGGGTCTCAATCAGTGTCCTTCCACTACGCTTTTGCCAGTCAAACATTTTAAATTCTCTGATTCAACAGTATTTATTCAGTGCAAGGCACTGCTAGGTACATTTTAAAACCTGTGGGTGTCTTGACTGCAGACCTAGCTGATAAGAATTTCCCAACATTAAATCACTGAGTTCTGTAAATTTGCAATAAAGTGGGAAAGCTTTTAGGAATGAAAGCCTTTGGGAATATGTATACAAATGTTTGACCATTTAAAAAAATGTAACCACAAACATTTCTACACAGTGGGAGAAGCGATTATTTCTGTTTTGAAAGTTAGTTCTATCAGAACAAATGTTTTGACTTTTGGGGTACATCCAAGTACACAATTTACTTTAAGATGTTTTGTATAGAACATAGTTGCCAAAGACGAGTATCGTGTGTGTGTGTGTGTATGTGTGTGTGTGTGTGTGTGTGTGTATGTGTGTGTGTGTATATATATATGAGTGAGTAAGTGAGTGAGTGAGTCAATGAGTGAGTGAGTAGATTGGATTCAATTTCCTCATCTCTCTAGGGTTCCTGAAGACCAGCAGAAACACTTCGGAAGAAACTAGCCTCTCTCTTATCTAGACCCTGTGCACCAAAGGGAACTGTTTCTGGATATCAGTACACCAATGGAAACACATTCCAGGCCATGATGTGTTTCATATGCATATTAAAAATTATATATGTAAAAATTATGTGTTTATATGCATGTCCGTGTATGTATACATACATGCACATACATACATGTATACCTTGCTCGTGTCGTGTACTGTGCATGCATATATGTATGTGCACACATGCATGCGTGTATTATATATAGGGCAACTAGGTGACAGTGGATAGAGGGCTGGGCCTGGAGTCAGGAAGACTCCTCTTCCTGAGTTCAAATACAGCCTCAGACACTTACCAGCTGTGTGACCCTGGGCAAGTTACTTAACCCTGTTTGCCTCAGTTTCCTCATCTATAAAATGGGCTGGAGAAGGAAATGGCAAACCATTTCAGTATCTTTGCCAAGAAAACCCCAAATGGGGTCACAAAGAGTCGGACGCAACTGAAACTATTTGTTGTTGTTCAGTTTTGTCTGACTCTGTGTGTATACACATAATATACATGCGTACGTATGTATATATATATATAAATGTATTGTGTATATGCACATACATGCATATATATATGTATATATATGTATATACATACATATATATATACATATATATATATAATGCCTATTGTCTGCAAGGCAGTGTTAGGTTCAGGGAATGCAAAACAGACAGACAACATCCTGCCTTCAGGAACTTACATGGGGGGGTGTTTTTCTGATATGAGGGGATGGCTTATGCAAAGGGTTGGAGGTAGAAGACAGAGCTGAGTTCAAGGAACAGAAAAAGGCTAGCTTGGTCTGAATGCTGCATACAAGAAAGGAAACAATGTGGAGTGTTTGGAAAGATAGCATCATAAGGCTGTGTATTCAAAGCTGAAATGAAGCTCAGAAGCTATCCAGCCCAATCCCATTTTAGAGGAAATGGAGCTCTGGGTAAGTTAAGTCAGAGAAAGGATCTGAACTGACACCCTCTAACTTGAGTCGGTAATCTTTTCAACGTGCCAGCCTAGAGGCTGAAGCCAGAGCACGATGCCTTTCAGTGCTAAGCTGAAGAGGTTACATTCTGTGCCAGAGGTAAGAGGGAGCCACTGAGTAATTATGAGCTAGGGGAATGACATTGTGAGATCGACGTTTTAGGGAAGGTGATTTTGGCATTTGTGAGGAAGAAGCAGAACGTCCAGTGAGGCTGCTGCCTCACTCTACAGGTGAGAGGTGATGGGTAGAATGAAGGGGGTGGATTTGACAGGTGTTGTGGTGGTAGAAATCACAAGACTTGACAAGTTTGGGAAAATAGGACATGGGAGGGAGGTAAGGCAGAATGAAAAGTTGAGGATGACTCTGCTAGAATGAACAACCTGAAAAACTGGAAAAGTGGTGATATCCTCAACAGAAAAAGGAAAGTTAGGAAGGGGGTGGGGTTAGGGAAAACAAAAGTGAGTTCTGGTTTTGGGGCACGATGAGATGGAGATGCCTTCAAGGAGGCGGACTTCAAGATGTCTAGTAGGACTATCAGTAATTCTCCTGGACTTAGGAGAGGAGAGGGCTGGATATAAAGATTTGGGAGTCATCTGCATAAAGATAAAAACTGAATCAGTAGGCCTGTGGAAAAGAGATAGAGTTAGAGACAGACAGAAAGAAAAACAGAGGGGGGAAAAAACAGGAGAGAAAGAGTGAAGGAGGAGGGGGAAGAGAGAGATAAAGTCTTCCTAACCTGGAAGTCCAGTGCTCTATCCACTAGGCCACCTTGATGGCTAGTTAAGTTGAGGAAGACAGGAAATGTAATCAACTAGAGTAGATGGTGTTTTAGAAGAGTAACTAGTAGAGGATATAGATAGATGGATAGATAGATAATAGAGATAGATCGAGTGATAGATTAGATAGGTAGGTAGGTATAGATACATAGCTTTATGTCTGCCTCACATTTGAAATGCTATAATACAGCCCAATTCGAGACCTGGATTATTTTCTCAGTGGTGAATTAGCCTAAAATCAGAAACAATACTTATGATCCAGATTTCTGAGCTGACTAAAAAAGAATTCTAAGTTTGTAATACTCTACCTGCTTTTCTCCCTCTCTCTTAGTCCAGATCTGGAAACACAAGGTTGCCTTGGCTACCTTCTCTAGGTTTCAGGAATATGGGTTTCAAGAAAAGTACCACTTTATATGGGGCAGCTAGGTAGCATAGTGGATAAAGTTGGAATTAGGAAGACTCATCTTCCTGAGTTCAAATCTGTCTTCAGACACTTACTAGATGTGTGACCCTGGGAAAGTCACTTTTAACCCTGTTTGCCTCAGTTTCCTCATCTGTAAAATGAGCCGGGGAAGGAAATGGCAAACCACTCCAGTATCTTTGCCAAGAAAACCCCAAATGGGGTCATGAAAAGTCAGATATCACTGAAATGATACATCATACGTAGGAAGTGGTGAATTTTTTTTCAGTCAATAGGGCAGAAATATGCAAGTGGATGATATTTATTTTAGCCAAGTTGATGATAGTATAAGTATTATGTTATCGCTTCTCCATAATTCCAGTTGTAAACATTTGCAAACTGTAAATAGTCATTTTGAGATCTAGCAGAAAGCACGTATAAATATCATCTGAGTTCTCTAAAGCTGATCTGGAATTGTGTGCAAAATATGATCCTGGCCTAAGAGAGTTAACAAATTATCCAAGCATCTAGCCCAACAGAATTGTTCACTGAAAAGAGGACGTTCAGGATGTGTGCAGGTTTGGGGCCAAGAATTGCAACTCCAAGGACTGGGGAGTGTAGTGAGTTTCAATGAATAGGATTAGTCTTTTTTTTTTTTATCAGAGAGAAGAGCTGGGATTTAGAAGATACATATATTTCACATCCTACTTTAAGAGCTATCCTGAAAAAATGATAGGGTGATGCAAAGAGCGTGACTGCAAATCAGGAGACCTGAGTTCTAGTTCTTACCTTGCCATTAGCCAATTCAATGCCACAAGCATTTCTTGTTGCAGTTCAGTTGTTTCAGTTGTATCTGACTCTTTATCACCCCATTTGGGGTTTTTTCTTGGCAAAGATGCTATAGTGGTTTGGCATATCTTTCTCCAGCTCGTTTTACAGATGAGGAAACTAAGACAAATGGGGTAAAGTGACTTTACCAGGGTCACACAGGTAGCAAGTATCTCAGGCCAGATTTGAACTAAGGTCTTCCTGACTTCAGGTTGGGTGCTTTATCTACTGTACCACCTAGCTCCCCTAGATCTGTAGTAAGTCTCTAAAATCTCAAGACTCTGGCATTCTGTGAGTCTATTATCAAGCAAATAGAAAATTACAATACATTTGGCTTAAGCATCAGAACCCAGAATGAAACAAAACATGACAAACCAAATCGGTTCATTTAAGAATAAAACTATTCCTCATAGGTCAGAACAAATGGCCTTTATGTGTAGCCTGCCTTTGGAATCCTTTACAATATCTAGATTTGGCATTAACATTCAATTATAGAAGATTTTTTTCTCCTAAGAAAATTGTGCTTTTTTCCTCTCCCCAGGAATGCTTTGTGGCATCTCTGCTGCCTCGTGAGCAATTAAACATGCAAATAGCCCCTCAGAAGTCAAACTAAATTCGAAGAAGACTCTCTTTAGAAGAATGGCATGTATCATGGAGAGCAAGATTGTGGGAAAAGAAAAACAGCAACATAGCTTGACTTTACTCAGCAAAATTAAGAACATGAAAGAATTAGCGGAAATGATAGATGTAGTACTCGTAGCAGAAGGGGAGAAATTTCCCTGCCACCGGCTGATTTTGGCTGCCTTTAGCCCTTATTTCAAAGCTATGTTCACCTGTGGTTTGCTTGAATGCGCTCAGAGGGAAGTCATACTCTATGATATCACAGCAGAGAGCGTATCTATAATATTAAACTATATGTACAATGTGGATTTGGACATCAATAATGCCAATGTACAGACTGTAGCTGTTGCTGCCTACTTTATGCAAATGGATGAAGTCTTCAGCATGTGCCAGAAATATATGATGGACCACATGGATGCCTCTAATTGCGTGGGAATCTACTATTTTGCCAAACATATTGGGGCAGAAGATTTGTCTGATCAAGCCAAGAAATATTTATATCAGCACTTTGCTGAGGCAAGCTTACACGAAGAAATTCTAGAAATTGATGTGGACCAACTGATGGCACTCATTAAATCAGATGATCTTAATATTTCCCGAGAGGAGAGTATTCTGGACTTGGTTTTGAGATGGGTAAACCATAACCGAGAATCACGCCTGGAGTCCCTTGTTGAACTTTTGAAACAAGTGAGACTGGGACTTGTGAATCCTTCTTTTTTAAGAGAAGCACTGAAAAGGAACACGGCGCTACTGTGTAACTCAGACTGCATCGATCTCATCCAGGGTGCCTTAGATGCCATCAAGAAATCCAAACAACATTCTCTAAATCTCCGTTATGGAATGGAGACCACTAGTCTTCTGCTTTGTATTGGCAACAATTCCACAGGGATCAGATCGAGGTATGGCAACTATGGAGAAGCCAGTTTTTGCTACGCTCCCACGACACGCAAGACTTACTTCCTCTCCTCTCCAAAGTATGGAGAAGGCTTAGGAACTGTGTGTACCGGGGTCGTCATGGAAAACAATGACATCATTGTGGCAGGGGAAGCCAGTGCCTCTAAATTATCTAGACAGAAGAATAAGAATATAGAGATCTATCGGTGTGTACCTGAAGGTGAAATCATCACAATTTGCAAATTTGTTTAAATCATCATTTCTTGGAATAGATAACATTGGACATACCCAAAATGTGGTTTATATATTTCATAGCTTCCAGTCGTGTGCTGAGATCATAGCATTTGTCTTTTGTGAACTTGATTTCCCTTTTTATCTAAAACTGATTGTTTCTAAGGGCAGCTAGGTGGCACAGTGGATAGAGCACCGGGCTTGGAGTCAGAAAGACCCAAGTTCAAATCCAGCTTCCAATACGTCATAGCTGTGAGATCCTGGACAAGTTACTCAGTTTCTGTATGCCTCAGTTCCCTCACCTGTAAAATGGAGGTAATAACAGCACTTGCCTTCCAAAGTTGTTTCTGGATCAAAGGAGATAATAATTGTAAAGTGCTTAGAAGAATGCCAGCACTACATAAATGCTGCCTATTATTATTATGAAAGTGTTTAGCATAGTGCTGGAACATAGTAAGTGCTATAAAATGTTAGTTGTTGTTATTTAGCATAGTCTTTTACACTAACAAAAAGAAAAACTACTTCCCACAATGCAGAGAGCAATTCTTCCGTGTCAGTTGCCAGTTTCAGAAGTAGCTGTAGCTAATAATTTCTTCAGTGTATGGTAATGATCCTCTCTGAACTAAGCTAGACTGACCTTCAGCTCATAGTTCATCCACATGATGGTCACTGAAGCCTCTTCAGAACCTTCCAGATTTTATGCTGTGATTCTGGCATAGGGTTTGAGAACCCAGAGTCCCCTCCACACACTAGCAAGCATTGGAGTAGTTCTTTGTGGAGATACCAGCATGGTCCAATGTAAACTTCACTGGCCAGAAAACACTGCTTCTCTTTTATCCTAACTTACTATTTTAACCAATTTTCGTTCTGCATTTTTGGATGGCAGATCTTTGTTTCTCTGATATTAATTTTTTTTACTTGATCTTAAAAGAGCAGCAAGACCAGAATAAAGTTTTCCAGTCAAGAGGCTGACATCAATCAGATGAGGAATGACATAATTACATATGCATTAAATATTCAGCAAATATTTATTGAGATCTGCCTGGCACAGAATTTAAAATCATTTAGGGTGATAAACATGAAACACCAAACAGGTTATTTACAATCTTGGCATAATAAAGGTTTCCCATGAGTTAGAAAATTTCCAAGTCTCTATTTAAAAAAAAAAAGATAGAGAGGAGATGGGAGGAACTAAGAGGAGAATTAGATTATGACCTACTTTGAACCACAGAGACCTGCAACTGGCACATATCTCTCTGTCTCTGTTTCTCTCTCTCTGTCTCTCTGTGTCTCTGTCTCTGTCTCTCTGTCTGTCTCTGTCTCTGTCTCTCTCTATCTCTCTGTCTGTCTCTGTGTGTGTGTTTCTGTCTCTGTCTCTATGTCTCTGTCTCTGTCTCTCTCTATCTCTCTGTCTCTGTCTTTCTCTGTCTCTGTGTGTGTCTCTGTCTCTCTCTGTGTGTCTCTGTCTCTCTCTCCCTATCTCTGTCTCCCTTCCCCTCCTCCCCCTCTTTCTCTCCCACATTGTCCTGCCCTTCAGTGGTACTCCTAATGCAGCCAAGCCCAGCATCCCGCGTTCCACCTTTCAACATTACTCACAGAAGTCCTCAGCTGGAGGTCTATAAGTATCCCTTTTGTCTGCATAGTGCTTTAAAGCTTTCACAAACATTATCTCATTTGATTGATTCTGTGAAGTAGGCCAGGCAGATATAATTGCTGCTTCACATGTAAAGAAACAACACAGAAAATCTAACATCCTCATCATTAATAATGATAACAATAATAACACCTATATAGGCTTTAAGGTTTGCCAAGTGACTTACCTACATTAGCTCATTTGGGCCTCATGATATCCCTGTGAGGTGCTACGGATAGTATTACCCCCATTTTACAGATGAGAAAGCTGAGGCTCAGAGAGGTTAACTGAGTTGCCCATGGTCACGCAGCTAGTGAGTGACCCAGATTGGATCTGAAACCATATGTTCTTGTAAATCTGTCACTCTACAGAGTGTTATTAGTAAATCAATCAGACGCACTTTTTTTGCTGATTAAAACACTGGTTGACACTAAGACATGAAGTATTTAACCTTTTTTTTTTTGCCAAGGGTAAAATAGTACAATCAGTATTTATTTGGCTTGTAGCCAAGCATCACCCACCCTAACCTTTGCAAGTTACTTGTTGGGAGGGACTGGAGGAAGGAGGGCAAAATCACCCTCCAAGTTGACATGGAATTCAGGGAAACTCTTCCATGGCACCTCCAAGGCTGGCATCCCTTTAGGCATGGCGTAGCCATGCGTGTCCAACCATCCGTTTTGGAGAGTCTGCATTCTTCCCTTCCTTCTTGCAATTTTCCCTCTGGATCATAAATGCATGAGTGCCAGATAAGTGAAAGTTATGGGGGGAGGAGCGGGTTTTGCTGATATATAGAAAAGCTCTATTTCCTTTGTCTTCTTTAAGAAATCTTTTAATTGTGGGGTTTTTATGCAGATAACAGCTTGGAAATGGTGCTCTATTCTCTTGCTAACTCTCCAGCTTTTTTGATAGGCTTTGATTTTAGGAAACAGACTTAAGTTATTTCATGTTTTGATTACCCCAGAGTGTCTTCTGTTAAGTTCTGCAAATGAATTGTTGAGGTCTCTGCCCATTTTCTAACCTTGGTAGAGTTTCTTGTCATTGTTTTTCCCCCAGAATTGGGAAATCAAGGCTACTCTTTAATAATTGATGTTTCCCAACTTTCTGCTTTTCTGTCTCAGCTTTCCTTCTCTTATGAGTTCTATAAGGGTTTATTAATCACTTAATATGCCCTTTGCTAGGCACAGTTATATTACTTTTATTTTAGAATTGTTTGGATAGAAGTTGTCACACTTTTTATGTACTATCCATTCTCTGCATCAGTCTGTTCAAAAAACAGTTTGGCAATCTTGAAAAAAATTCTTTTTTTCTTCAGTGTGAAGACCTATATCACATTATTTATGATTTAGAAAGAGACTCAAGTAGTTTTCAAGGGCAATTTGTTTTGGCCTCTAGAAAGCAATGTCATCTCTAATCTTGAACTTTTTATCCATTCACTTGCAGGTATCACAACCGAGGAAACAAATTTTGGGAAAAATTATGCGCCACTGAGTTTCGGGAACTCTATGCCCTAGGCAGTGTCTATAGTGACCTTTATGTTATAGGAGGACAAATGAAATTGAAAAACCAGTATCTCGTTACAAACTGTGTTGACAAGTATTCAGTGGAGCATGACAATTGGAAAAGGGTGTCCCCTCTTCCATTACAACTAGCATGCCATGCTGTGGTAACAGTGAATAATAAACTTTATGTGATTGGAGGATGGACCCCACAGGTTAAGAAATTTCCTATGTACCTAACCCCCATGTTTGCATGCAAGCTGGCTTCTCAGTTTAGAATGTGACTTATTCATTGAAAACTAAAACATTATGCCTTCACTAGCTTAAAAAATATATAAAAACAAAAATTTTCCCTATTTTAGAATGTTAAATGTAAAGCTTACATAGGAATATAGAAGACTAATTAAATTTTAAAGTGAATTCAACATAGACATGAATTCACGTAACATTTAAGCATTTTTTTTTCAGAATTGCCTTCTTATTTTTGCTCCTTATCAAAGATATTTGTGTTAAGGAGCATGGAACCAGGTAGAACTGGGTGCCAGTACCAGCTCTGATACAAATTGTGTTACCTTGGACAAATCACTGAACCTTTCATGATCAGTGTCCTTATATTTAAAAACAAGGAGAGATAGATTAGATAACAACAACTCATATGCTTTATAGTTACAGTGCACTTCTACATACATTATCTCATTTGAACTTCACAATAATCCTATTAGTTGGTTAGAGAAGGTATTCTTATCCTATTTTACAGGTGAGATAACTGAATATTAGAGATGTTAAGTGGGGCCACATGATTAGGTCTCAGAGGGAAGATTTGGATACAGGTCTTTCTAATATTCTGTTAAACCCTACTGACTATTTGAGGATCTCCATTGAGGAGAAACCCTCCCTCCCAAGGAAATCCATTCTATTTTTGAACAGTTCTAATCACTACAAAATTTCTCCTAGTTTAAATTTGCCTCTTTGCCTCAATATACACATTACTTATAGGTTTGCCATTTTTGGTTCATATCAGAACAAATTTAATCTTTCTTTGATATGAAACTCTTTGAATATTTCAATAGCAATCATGTCTCCTTTAAGTCTTCACTTCTCCAAGATAAATATCACCAGATAAACGTCATCATTCCTTCAACTGATGTTCATTTAGCAGGATTTCAAGACCCTTCACAATTCCAGTTACCTCCCAGTTTACTGATATCGCTCCTAAAAGAGAGCCCTCAAACTATATACAGTACTCCAAATGTGATCCAATCTGGCCAGAGCACAGAAGCACTAGCACCTCCCCAGTCCTGGACATTGGGACTTTCTTCTTACAAAAATCACATTGGACTTTTTTGTTTGTTTGTTTCTGTATCACCCTGTTGATTCTTACAGAACTTGGAGTCTACTAAAACCCCCAGATCTTTTTCACACGAAATGTTATCTTGCCACTCCTCCCCCAATGTGTGCTTGTAGTATTTATTTTTCAAACTCAAGTGTAAGATTTTACATTTAATTATATCTTGTTAGAGTCTGCCCAGTACTCTGGCCTATTAAGATCTTTTGGGATCCTAACTCTATTAACCAATTCATCTATACATTTGATAAACACATTAACTATGCTTTTATCTGAGTCACTGATTAAAAAATCAAACAGCACAAAACCAAGTGTGGCTCCCTGTGCAACTCCTCTAGAGACCTTCTTCCAGATGATATTAAACTATTAATGACATCTAAGTTGACACCAAATTATTAAAATCTAATTAGGGTCTGACTGGTCAGTGAGTTCTGAATGCACTATGCTAGTGTCTAGCCTTCATTTCTCTATCTTTTCCACAAGAATAGTTTGAGAAACATTGTTAAATGCTTTTCTAAAGTCTAAGTAAACTGTATCTACCACATTCTCCTCATTTTATAGTCTAATCTAGAGACTCATCTTCCTGAGTTCACATCTGGCCTCAGACACTTAGTAGCCATGTGACTCTGGGCAAGTCACTTAATCCTGTTTGCCTCAGTTTCCTCATGTGTAAAACTATCTGGAGAAGAAAATGGCAAAACTACTCCAGTATCTTTGCCAAGAAAACCCCAAATGGGGTCATGGAGATTCAGACACGACTGGAATGACTAAACAACAACAGAATCTTGTTGAAAAAAGTATAGGAGTTTGTCTGTCATAACCTGCTCTTGATGAAAACATTGTGGTTCCTTGAGTTCACCACTTCCTTATCTAGATGTTCACTATTCTCTTTAATGATCTGTTGCAGCATTTTCCCAGGAAACAAAGTCAAACTAATTTCATTCTTCCCCTCCCTCTTTTTTAATCATCAAGACATCTTGTCTTTCTCCAGTCCTCTAATACCTCTCCTATTCATCATGATCTTTCAAAGACCACTGACAGTGTATCAGCAATCGCCTCTACCAGTTGTTTCCATAATCTAGGATACATCTCAGTGTAGTAACTAGAACTTATCAAGGACAACTAGATCCTCTTATCTTCTGTGTACTTATCTTGGGTAACAACTCCCTATTAACCATTTTTGATCTATTTACGATCCAAATATAATTTTCCTTGGCAAAGACAATAAAAGTATGATTTAAGCATCTTTGTTTTCTCTTTGTAATCTGTTACCATCATCCCATCCCCCCTGAGCAGTGGTTTTATCATTCTTTTATATCCAATATAGTTTGAAAAAAATTGATTTTTTTTGTCATCCTTAGCTTTCCTAACCAGCCTCAATTCATTCTAAACTTTAGTATTCCTGGTATTTTTTATAAAACTCATCAGGACCATGCTATACTTTCTCATTTGTCTTCTATTAATTGCCTTTGTTGCCTGCCATCATGTATGTAGATATAGATTTAGATGAGAGACATATATGTATTGTATATGTATCCTTTATTTTTTTAATCTAAGTTGGTCAAGGAGCTCTCTATGCATCCACATCAATCTCTCTCTTTAGACTAATCTACCTAGTCCTCTCCACTGAAATTGTTTTCTCTTTTTTGTCTGTAGAATTTCATTCTTAAGAGCTTCCCATCCCACCTTGACTAACTTCTGCAGAAATTTTGTTCATAGGATTCTACCTATTATTTTTCTAAATTCTTTGAAACCTACTCTCCCAAAATATTGGGTGAATGTCAGATTGTATCCAGCTCTTCTCTCATTCTCTATGAAAAATTCAAAGATGGAGTAATTGCTTCTCCCCACTCTTCCCAACACTTCCACCCTCAGCAGGCAATTTTTCCTTGTTGAAGATACTCATATTCAGAATAGGCCTTTCCCCTTATTGGTTCCTTTTGAAGGAAGAAATCATCACTGAGTAAAGTCAGGAAATTATTAGTTGGTCTGCCTCTGGCAGAAAGAAAGCTCCCACAGATTCCAGATCTACTATTATATTATACCTCTGTGCTAGGCTTGTGATCCCAAACTCTTCATTTATTTCTGCCTTCTATCCTGGTGGTCTATAGCATATGATAATGATAATATGGCTTATGTTTCTACCTCTATTAATCTTCACTCAATGGTCTCTACCACCCTGAGTTTCTTCACATGACTCTATCTTTTTTTTTTTTGGCTAGGCAGAGGGGTTAAGTGACTTGCCCAGGGTCACACAGCTAGTAAGTGTTATGTGTCTGAGGCCAGATTTGAACTCAGGTCCTCCTGAATCCAGAGCCAGTGCTCTATCCACTGTGCCACTTAGCTGCCCCTATATCTTCTTAATATAACCTATTCCATCTCTCCCCCTAACCATTTACCTGTCCCTTGAATAAGATATATTAGGTGAAGTGATTTACCTGCAATCAGACCACTGGCTTTAGAGGCAAGTTGGGACCAGAACTCTCATTTCTGTGCTCTTTTCACCCTCCCATGCTGCCTCTCCCCTTGGCTACCCTAGTTCTCAAGGCTTTCTTCTGTGGGCAGTGTTATGTAAGTCATACCTTTCCTTCTCCCCTTTCCCATTGGGAAAGAGAGCTACAGACTCATCCTCTCCTAGACAATATTGTTGCATATCAAAAAGGGCTTAATGGTAACCATGCCTAACCTCAAAGGTAAGCCTGTGGGCAAGATTTGTTAAAAGTCAGATTTTCTAACCTGCCAGCCCAGATTTAATGGAGACATGTATGATAAGCAATAAAAAAAATTTCTCTTTGTCTTACTGTTTTGTTCCTTAATAGACTTAAACAAACTTTCCTATTGAGTTGCTCAAAAAGATTCAATTTGACCACTTAACAGTGAATAACCACTGTGGCTGACAAAATCTACAATTATGCTCTGATTTGAAAAGTGTTATAGTCTTCATAGTGATGGCATATGGGCCCATCATTCAATTTCAGAAGCTGAGACCTTTGCCCCTTTTGCCAAAAAGAATTTGGCTCCCATTTATCTACGGGTCCCAGAAAGCCCTTAAACTTTTCTTACTCTGGTCTCAAACTGTTCCTTATCTCCCTTTGAAAGCCCTACCCCCACCTTTTGATCTTATTCAGATGCCTTTCAAACTTCTTCCTTCCAGCTCCCTTCATTATCTATTCCCATTGTCTATTCAGTCTCTCAGACCTTCCAATTGGAATTCTCACCTAGACCCTTTTCCCAGCCCCTCCTCTGGTCACCCAAAGTTACTTTAGTGTATATAAGATCCACCTGGCCCCCATTTAAACACTGAGTCTTTCTTATGCCCAAAAGGCTGAAACTTTCTCATGCCCGCTTGTCCCTATGGGCATTGCTAATTCCTTAAGGGTCCGGCCTGTACGGTTTATCTCCAATAAACTTTTTCTCTGGCTGAAAGAAGATTTGGGTTGAATTCATTCAGACAGGGCCTGCATGTCATGATCTTGAGGGGAGGGGGATTCCCAGCACCCCTAAACCTCCAGACCTCATCAATAGGGCAGTTAGGTGGTGCAGTGGATAGAGTGCCAGGCCTGGAGTCAGGAAAACTCATCTTTCTGAGTTCAAATCTGGCCTCAGATACTTATTAACTGTGTGACCCTGTGCTAGTCACTTAACCTTGTTTACCTCAGTTTCCTCATCTGCAAAATGAACTGAAGAAGAGATGGCAAACCACTCTAGTATCTTTGCCAAGAAAATCCCAAATGGGGTCACACAACTGAAAAACAACTGAACAACAACAAAATAGAATTCATGGTAGCTCATTGCCAAGGATTCTCAAGTTGATTATAACTAAAATTATGAACTAATCATGGACCTAAAACAGCATTTACATATCAAGATTTCCATGACAAAGACTCAGAAAAACAATTCAGGAGCTATTCTTTTGCTAAAATAGAGATCAAATGCTTAAATAAAGAAGGAAATTTAGAATAAGAATAAATTTAACATATTGGTTTACTTAGAATCTTTGGCTTTAAAAAGCAGAAATGTAAAGCTTTATTATGCAACAGTCTGTTATTAAATTAGGCACCTACTTCTTATCCCTCCCCCTTCCCCCAAGTTCCATAGCACTTCAAAAGAGATTATAAATATCTTTTACTTTAAGCAAATCCAAAGGTTTCTCAAAATCCAGATTTACAAAAATTAGGAGGTGATTATTCACTTCACAAAAGGACACTTTACCAAAGGATTCACCACAATGTTATTGTACATAATGATCTCCATTTACTGTATTTTAGATATTTATTCAATTTACAAAAATTATATTTGCAGGAAGCTTTCCTAGAACACATCCATTGTCCATATACAAGAAAAAAAAATTTAGTTGAGAAACCTTTAGATTCAATGCCCTGCCAAGTGTGTGAAGTATAATGGAGCCTTAATTTAGCCTCTGTAGAAATAGCTATGCAGCTAGCTTAATAGCTAGTGTGTCCTTGATAAAAGTATGTGTATGTGAATAATTATAAATTATTCAGACATGTAAGCCATTTGTCCCTGGTTGTTGATTCATAGGTCAGAACTTGTGATTCAAAATGGTGATAGAGGGGGCTGCTAGGTGGTACAGTAGATAGACCTCTGCCCTTGGAGTCAGGAGGACCTGAGTTTAAATCTGGCCTCAGACACTTGACACTTACTAGCTGTGTGACCCTGGGCAAGTCATTTAACCCTGATTGCCTCACCAAAAAAAAAAAAATGGTAATAGAGATAAAAAAGAGATAGAGACTCTCTTTCTTGTAAAATTTATAAAAATTTGTATGATGAGCTAGACATAAAGGAAACAGTTTCTGCCATTGTTCAACATTCACTCAACAAATAATTATTCTTCCCATGTATTCTCTTGTTCACTTCTATAATGATTAAGATGCTTGTTACTGAACATGAGTATTCTTTACTCTACTCAATATTGGATGACAGATTGTAGTCCCTTTCCCCTATGCATTTGTGACCTTTATATGTGATCATTATCTTAAACTGGGACCTAACAACTTCACCATACCTCCCTTTGCCCTCTGAATATTTCAAACGTGATTCCAGGATTGAAAAGTCTAGATGCCCGAAGTCACTAAAATGAGCCCTTGTTTGTATGGTAATTCCTTGATGAGGCCCCATGTCAAAAAAAAAAAAGCTCAACTCCCTACTTATTCTGGGTCTACAGTGTTCATGGCACAGTATTCCAGCACAGAAAGGACAATTTCTTTCTTTGAGGAATGTACAAACCAACAGAGCCAAGGTATAAGAAGCGCTATAAAGCCCTTCTCTTTAATAAATCCCAGTTATAAGAAATTATAGTCTGAAAATGTTTAGCAAATTATTAAAACAAAATATTTTTGTGACTCCATCAATTTGGCTTAAATAGATGCTCTTTATAAAGAAGAAATGTTTCACAAAATGGAAGGTTAGTCTTTCAGACCCCTTCTTCAAGGACACTACTGTATAGTTTTAACAAAATGGAAACGTGCTAACAAAAAAAATTGGCTAAAATAGTTTGGCTTCATTTTTAAGACTCAGCTGCTGCTTCATAATAAATTTTTTTAAAAAAAGCTATGTTGTGACAGTGCTATAATCACAGCTTGTTTGTTTTAACCCAGCACTCAGCCCCACCGGGCTAAGATATAAATTCATCTGATCTTGACAATGCACTTATAACCACAGGTCATGGAGAGTTGGTGAATTTTAGTGAGTCTGAGTCACTTCAGTTGATGCTATTTATCTACTTGGCCGTCCAGTTTGATTAATTGCATTCGTGTACTCACATCCATCTCTAAATGGTACGTTGTTATATAGCTGTCATATTTCATACAGATGGATCTCCCTGATGACGAGCCTGATCGATTAAGCAACCGACTGTTGCAGTATGACCCTGGCCAAGATCAATGGAGGGAGCGGACACCGATGAAGTACTCTAAATACCGATTCAGTACTGCCGTAGTCAACAGTGAGATTTATGTTCTGGGTAAGGAGAAAAAGATTTTTTAACCGATAATATAACCACTTTTCCTTTTCTCTAGCCTTTTGCCCCAGTAAAATGAAAAACTCTCCTTTTGTATCATAAACAAGGACAAATGGAATTGGTGGTGGTGGTTGTTCTCTTGCTTTCTAGAACCTAGGTAGGTGAAGTTGAATCACTCATATTTCTATAGTATATAGTGCCTTAAGGTTCTACAAAGCCCTTTACATGTCTTTTTTCATTTGACAAAAGTCCATTGTCCTAACAAAGGTGATTTTTTTGTTAATGGTCCTCTTAAGTGCCCTAGAAAATATGGAGGTAGATGAGAGAGACAGACCAGACAGACATCCATGCTCAGGAGTACTAAACTAGGAATGTGTGTCTTTTTCTAGACTTTTTGTCAGTGAAGAGTGACCACATAAGTCCTTTCCTAATTATGTATGCTAATAAAGGAGATCAATACCATAAATAACTGAACCCAGGAACACAGAATGTCAGAGTTGGGAGGGATAGATTTTCAGAGTTTTAGAGTTTGATGGGAACTGAGCAGCCATCTAGACCAAAGGTTCTTAATCTGGGGTCACCAAGAACCTCAGGGTTCCATGGATGGATTTCAGGATATCCATGAACTTGAATGGGAAGCAAATTACATTTTTATTTTCCCTGCCATTTAACTGAATATTAACATTTCCTTCAGTTATTTAAAAACATTCTGAGAAAAGGGTCATCTTTTTTACCAGACTCTAAAAGGGTCCATGGCACAAAAAGGACAGAAGGTTAAGAACTCTGATCTAGACCAAGTCCATACCTGAAAGGAATTCCCAACATTCCCAACACATGACCATCCAACTTCTGCTTCAAGATCTCCCATGAGAAGGACTCCAATACTTCCCGAGGCAGCCCATTCTACCTTTAGGTGACCCTAATGGTTAGAAAGTTTTTCCAGACATCAAGCTTTAATTTGTCTCCTTGTGACTTCCACTCTTTGCTCTCTGTTCCGACCACTAGGTCCAAACATAACAAGGCTAATTCACTTCCACATGATAGTCCTTCAGATTATTTGATGACAACTCTCACCTCCCCCTTGGGTCTTCCCTTCTCCAGATTAAATGTCCCAGTTCCTTCAGCTGATCCCCAAGTGATATAGATAGGTCTTTCGCTATCCCTGGCTGTCCTCCTCAAGCACTCCACACATCATTGATGTATTTCCTAAGCTGCAGCCCACCAAAACCCTAGAACTTTACCATCTAACCATACTTCCTTGGTCTTGTACTTTTGAATTCAAGTTTTTAAACCCAAGTGTAAGACATTTATCCCTACTAAGTTTTATTTTATCAGATTTAACCTAATATTCTAGCCTTTCAAGATCTCTTACGATCCTGACTCTGACACTCAATGTGTTAGCTATCCCTCCTAGCTTTGAGTTGCTTACAAATTTAATAAGCCGGCTACCTATACCATTATCTGAATCACTGATAAAAACATCAAAGGCCAAGCACAGCATCTTAGGGCACTCCACGAGAGAGCTTCTTCCAAATTGACATCAAATTCTTTGGATCTGCCAGTTCAGCCAGGTCTAAATACACTGTATTATTATTTGACCCCTATCTTTTCTGCAAGAGTAGCTAGAGAAACAGTGTCAGAAGCTTTGCTAAAATCTAGGTAAACTATATCTGCAGCATTCCACTGATCTAACAGCCCAGTAATCTTGGGGATTTTTTTTTAAATGAAATTAGTTTGGTATATCCTGCTCTTGATGAAACTGTGCTGGCTCATTATGATCACTCCTTCCTTTTTTTTTAATTAAATTTTATTTTATTTTCATGAAGCTATGCCTTCTCTCTTTCCCATCTCCCCCTCCCCACACTGAGAAAGCAAGAAAAACAAAATCCCTATTACAAACATGTATAGTCAAGCAAAACAAAGTCCTGCATTGACTATATCCAAATATCTATATCTATATCTATATTTTGCATACATACATACATACACACACTCTTAGGGCTGTGTTGGTATTGCTATATATATTTGAATATATATATATATGTATGTGTATACATATATATTGTGTGTGTGTGTGTGTGTGTGTGTGTGTGTGTGTGTGTGTGTGTGTGATATGCATTTAGGGTTGTATTAGTACGTGTCTGAGGTCAGATTTGAACTCAGGTCTTTCTGACTACAAATGTAGTGCTTGGTCCACTGCATCTCCTAACTTCCTCCCATTAGGAGGAATTTTTTATTCTTTTGTGTCCAGTGTAAATGTCTTTCTCCTCAGCAGAAAAACCAAGAATTTCTACTCTTCTCTCTTGTCAGTTTTCATTGTCCCACCTATCCCAATCTTACTGAATCTTCTTTAATCCTCCTCTTGCTATACTTCACTTTTCTCAGCTGTGATGACTCCAAATACTATTTTCCAGACATATATACCATGATTTTCTATTCATCTTCCATTTCTTGACCTTGCTTCAGCCTTCATACATGTTTTTAAAACCTGAGTTGGCTGACATTTCCCATGTGTCCATATTGATATTTTCAGAAAACTCTTGTTTTCCCTCTTCACTAAAATTGTCTTCATAACATTATTCTTGAGAGTTTTCCATCTCTCCTGGACTGTCAGCTTCTATAGAGTTTTCATCCGTGGGATTCTACTACATTTCCTCTGAACGCTTTGAAGTCTGCTTTCCCAAAATCTCAGGTACATATCAGACTATGCCCGGCTTTCCATTTTTCTATCACAAACTCTAGGAAGGGAGTATTCACTTTTCCCCAAAGTTCCCATCATTTCTATCCCAGCAACCAATTCTTCCTTCATGAAGATCAGCTCCAATATAGTTTCCCCTTGGTTTCTCCAACTTTTGGACTTAAGAGATCATCTGGTCCAATCCACACACTCTAAAAAAAAATATCCACACAAAAAATACTGAATATTCAGACATCCAGCCTTAGAACCCATCATCCTCTGAGACAATCCATTCTATTCTTGGATGTCTTTTTATCAACAGGAAATTTTTCCTGACATTAAACCTAAATTTGCTACCTACCTGCTACTAGTCCTGTTCTCAAGGTGCCAGGCAGAAGAAGTCTTACTTTTTTCTACATAAGAACCCTTTAAATACTTGAAGATAGCTAGCTATCACATCCCCCCCCCGTGATGTTGAGCCCCCATTAAGAGAAGAAGAGCTCTCGGGAATAAGAATATGGTCCCATTATACTCTACCCTGGTCATACCACATATGGAGTGATGTGTTCAGTTTTAGCCATCACAGTTTAGGAAGGACATTGATAAATTGAAGAGTGCCTAGGGGAGGACAGTCAGTATGGTGCAAGCCTTGACTCTCTTCCCTATGACAGTCAGTTGGAAGAACTGGGGATGTTTCGTCTGAAGAAGAGGAGTGAACTTTTCCATTCCCTTTTTCTTTTTTCTTTTCCTTTTCACTATCATTGACAGTTTTCAGCTTAGAGTAGAGACAGATGTACTTAAATATTAAAAGATATTTTATAATTTTTGAAAGCAAAGTACAAGTATGTTCCAGCATAACTCATTGCTACCTCTGTCAGAAACTTTGCTTTTAATTTAAAAATTAAAATTATTTATGTGATCATTACTTTTTACCTTAAAATGGTGTGTTATTATGGCCTCCAATGATGCAGCAGCAGAAGTGAATGAAGTGACTGATTTCTCAAAGAAGACTGACCCAATGAACTTTATTAAGGAGTGAGGGAATCATAGGAATAGAATGGGGATAAATTATTACATAGTGACAGAATGAGAACTCCTCAAGGATCCCATTCAACCCTAATGGAGAAAAATAGATAAAACAAATAATTCTATGGGCCAGAAAATGTTTTGGGCACCACTTTCAGTGCCTTAATTATGTAGCATTATAACACATCTCTCAACTCTGATTTACCTAAGTGAGAAATCTATATGTTGGAATCTGCGTCTGCCAATGGTCCAAGCCGTGTCTTTAACTGGTTCATTATATTAAGTTTTTGAGGATCTATGCACCCAAAACTGTGCTAAGTGCAGTGGGACAATGAAACCCCTTCCTTTTAAAATGCTTAAAATACTATAGGAGAGACCAGATTCCCACATCTGAAGAAGAACAAAATGAGATAATATATAACAAAGTAAAAAATTGAATGTTATCTATTGCCAAAATGTACATCAAGGTAATAAGGGCTCTAAAAGGTTACCAGAAAAAGAAGATATTGATATTGACTGTAGTTATTAGATAAGGTGTCATAAAGGGAATCAGACCTGAGATGGCCCTTTAAGAATTGCTAGATTTTGGAGAGACAGGGCCAGGGAAAAACTTGAGCAAAGTTTTGGCAGCAGGAGTAAGTATGGTATGCGAAAGAAATAGTGAGAAAACTAACTTGACTGCAATGACCAGCTTACCCCAATATGGCAGAGTGACATATGAGACACAGAAAGAAATAACTAGTTTAACCGCACGTTCATTAATAAAAGAGGCAAATCCTAAATGCACAGGCTTAGAAATGAACTCAGATCAATTATTTAATTATCTGATTGTTTGCTTTTTTAACCTTGGATCGTTTTTAGGAGGCCGTGTGATATAATGGGAAATAGGCAGATTTGGAATTAGAAAAACCCTGCTTTCATTTGACAAGATCGATCAAAACCTTGCTACTCTCTCCTCTCTGAGTCTTTGTGATACTGTGATATTGTCCTCCTACCTGCCTGACTACCCCTTCTAAGTCTCCTTTGCTGGTTCATCATCCATATCATACCCACTAACTGGCTGGGTTCTGTCCCAAGGCTCTGTCCCTCTTCTAGTCTCTCACTCCTGGTGACTTCATCAACTCTCTTGGGATTAGTTATCACTTCTGTCTATCTGGTTCCTAAATCTAATACCCAGCCTAGTCACCAACCTGAGCTTCACTCATTTATCTCTAGTTTTCTGTCGGACAGTTCAAACTGGATATCCAGTAGGCATCTCAAACTCCACATGTACAAAACCTAGCTCGTTATTTTTCCTTGC